AACAGACGCGGCTGGGCCTCTAGCGTCGCGGTGACCACCAAGAACTACCTTTCAAGGACAAGGGGCCGACGCGACAGGGTGGCACCGGAGCTTTAGCTGATACCGGCGGCAGTACTGCCATCCCCAAGCTTTTGCTCAAGGCGCACTAAGTGGGAGAGCATCTTTACAGACTCTCGGTCTTCAAGTACCTACGAGCTCTGTCTAAGTAGCAAGACTTTGGTGCCAGTGCTCCTCGAAGCAGAAGACAAGAAGACGGTGTGCGGCTGCAAGGGGGAAAAGGGTTGATCGGAAAGTCCACCATTGCTGATCAATGACGGCTGAAAAGTATCGTCTTGGTTCGCTTCCATTCGTTGATGTTCGAGTCAAGAAACGTGCTGTAGTGTCTCTCCTCTAGTCTTTAGTGTCAACCGAAGGCAGTGCTGGCCATGAGCTAGAAATGTCTCAGACAATCCGGCCTCCAGCGAAGGGAGGGGCCAGCCATGCAGATTTGCTTGATGGCAACTTGGGTCTGTGATTGTGGATTTATGACAATAGGGACGGGCAATCCATAGATAATTTGGAGAGCTGCTTCATAAGTGACAATGAGTACGTACGAAGACCTGTTAACAATATAATAGCTATAGCCTATGAGTAATTAACGGGAGGAGAAATGATCGACATTCTGTCAAAGGCATCTGGGAAGATCGTGCAGGCGCACCGAGAAACCCTCGCCAACAATGCGTTTGCGGCTAGTGCTTGAAAGGCTAAGCCTATAACACTCTGTCTCCGTAAAGAGGTTGGTTGGTAGTCTCAACTAGCTTCCTACCTCGTCTGCCGTCCTCCCACCGAGACACTTCGGATAGTTGTCGACGATGACGGTGGGTTGAGACAATTTGTTGTGGCCCGCTTGAGCCAAAGTCTACCTTAGTGTGCACGGGTGCAACCACCGTGCGTCCGGGAGATGTGCGTCTAAATGTGCGGAGTGCAAAAATGTCTAGGACATGCAGACACCTTGAATTGTTTATGCGTCTCCGAAGAGGTTCAGACTTCAGAGAGGCCCGGTCTGAACCTATCCGTCGGGTAAGATTGACTGCCCAACGTGCTGGCATATGTTGCAGTACTGACGCCGCAAGTCGACTCTATGCTCCGTGTAACGCAGCCAAGCAGCTTCCCATTGACCATTGACACGGCACACGGATGTCGACATGCACGATAAAGTAATTGTAGGGCTGATCGAAAGATGGCGTGGAGGTAGGCATGGTATGGCGATACTCTTATCCTGCTCGTGGCATGGAACTTTGGCGTCAAAGTAGTTGATTATCATACATTCTGCCGATTCGGACTTTGAGCATTGCTTTCGAGGTCTCGATATGCCAAACTTCGTCACCTGGTGCTCGAAGAACTGTAAACAGGGTCAACCCAGGTCTATCAAGACAGGCCTAGCGCATTTTCTCCGCTCGGCATAGGGAGAGAGATTGGATGATACCATCCAATTCTGCCACTCCAAAATGACGAATAAATCGTCCGTAATCGGCCTCCATGTTTAGCGCACCGTTGCGCGCGGGGGGCAATGAGTGAACGGGCGCCAGGGCATGGAAGGCTTCTCGCCATTTCCGACCTGCGTCTGACAGCTGCGGTGAAGACCGACATCAGACCATGACGCCGCAGCGGCCTAATACGCTGTACCGGTACCAGATGACGCGTTTCGACTTCTCTTCACTGCATCGCGTCGCACTCTTGCGCGGCACTCAGCCAATGTGACGAGCCAAGGCACCTTGATGCAGTTGAAAATTGCCGAGCCATGGCATTGTGACAGGACACTCTGGTGGCATGCTGGCGATCAATTTGACGTTGCCGACGGCTGTTTGTATTGAGCACAGACTGCGAGTCAGGGCATCGAAATTGGCTCTCTGCAGTTCGTTCTACGGAATTAAGTCTGTACCTTGGCAGAGGGACAGATGTGACACTGGAATAGGACATCTAACCTTCACTAGTGAATCCTCATGTGAACAGATGCAAATGGGTCGTTGACGCCGCTGGAGGTCCCAGTTCAGAGGGACGGCAGGCGAGGTTGTGCCGAAGACGCAGGCCACGCGCCGACGGAGGGCGGAACAACAGGCTTGGGAATGACAAGCAGCTTTGAGTTCCGCGGCACCCTCTCTCCGGTTGCCTTTGGCTAGCGCCCCTCATGCGGCCAGGTTGTGCATGTGGTACTGTCAGTTCTGTGCCTGGCTAGGCTGATGAGGTGTATCATGTTGATGAAATTCCAACGTTGAAAGCGAAAACCTTGTTTTGTTGATCTCTCTTTCGCACGGCTCTCGATTGTCAGCTATAGCCTTTATTATAACTCAAATTGGCGACGAGTGGAAAGAGAGGTGAGGTCCGAAGAAGCCGATAGATTTTCTAGGTTTGAAGTTATCGACAGGAGGTGGAGCTTGACGAATGACAGATTCAGCGCGGGCGTTTTCCCATATCCCGGCACTGGGCTTCCATCCTGTGGGGAGGCAACGAGCAGTCAACGCACTGTCGTTATCGATGCTGGCAGTTTGAAGGAGGCGGGCCGGTCGGCAGTGGCGGTAGGTGTGGATGCCACGCAGTAATTTAAGCGTCTGAGCGGAAGCTGTCAATCCTACGAACATGTCTTGACGCTAGCAGGCAATAGAGGCAAAATGTGAGAGACGAGGCGAACAGGCGACGAGGATGGCGATGGAGTGAAGCGAAGCACAGAGTCGAAATGGCGATGCGATGTCAGAAGACGCAGGCGAACCCAGAATAGAGGTGTCCCTGGCGATTGGCATATCAGCAGGGTGATAAGACGTCAGGATATCGTTCAGCTGTGGCGCGGATGTTTGGCAATGATTCCAATGAATGGCGAGTGCCCGCGAGGGCAATTGAGTTGAAGAAGGGCGCGCATGAAGGATCCATCAGTTGGCCCACGTCACATTGGGGTCGAGGCCAACCCGTCCTTGCGGGACCATGATGTGCAGTTGTTGCTACGCCGTGTGGCCGCAACTATGGTCGGTGGTCCGGGTCGATGTCTGCAAGCCGGGCCAGTGTTGCAGGCCGGATCTCTTGGGATTTGGCAAGAGGGGGAACTTGGAGAGGGGTGAAAATTCAGTTGCACTCGGCTACTCGTCTCACTTCAGCTGTGGTTCACGAGATGTCAATGGCGGCTTGTCCGTCAATTCACCGGTGCCGTTGAGAAAATAGCGTCTTGTTAGTCGTGGTCGATGACGGATGGCTGAATATTGAATATGCAGGAAGAAGGAGAAGAGAAAGGAAGAGACGGAGACTCCGGCCAAGTGTGGTTGACTGGCAGGGCAGACTGAGCCTGTGAGGTGGGTACCTAGGTTCCTAGGCAATCAATGCGGCAGTGACGACCTTCAGGTACGTAGTGACAACCTGCACTTGCTGAATTGAGTGCACGGTTCAACCGATGGCTTGAGTCGCCAACTTCCTTCCTTCTTGAGGTAGAAGAGGCGCCGTTTGGGGTTTGGGAAAGAACAAACCAAAGTTGGAACTTGGAAGTCGCGGAAAGCCCATGGGTCGTTATTGCTATCTCCCCGGTTTCCCCTTACTATTATGTAAGGTGGTCGGGTGTTCTTTCTCAAGCATCCCAAGTCATGTCATGTATCTGCATTTTAAGGAAACCGACTTAAGGTACCTTGGACTGATGGCCAACGGGGACAAGATCCGGCGGGAGAATCCAGGGACTTCCTCGCTTCGGACCTTCAGCTCCATGCCCCTCCAGGGCTCAGGTATATTGCCGCGCCTTTACGCCCTTGGCAACATGATTACCGTCTTGCAAGGCAAAACGAACACATCGGCGACCCGTCAACAACGGCATTGTCGGCGACGGTCTGTCGTCCACTGTTAGAAGAGGCTAACTTTCCTCCATCAAAGCTTAGCAAACCTGTGTCATGAACCCGTAGCCCTCTGTTTCAGAGTTGAACAGGCGACTTGATATATGTGACTGGTCACAAACCAAAGCCTGCCATCGCAACCCGTCAACGTCTATCGAGATTGCTACCCCTTGGATCATCCGCTGCAGTGGCTTGTCTACCAATATGCCTGGCTAGCAAACTGCTCGGCCGTCCCGACTGCAGCTACGTTGGACTCCTGTAGTCTGTCGCATCTCGAGGAGCAACACCACGGATAGAGACAAAGGAGGTCTAGACACTCGAAAAGCCTACTGTGGCCAAACTAGCGGGTTTCCTGGCCCTTCTTACCTCACATGGAATCCTTTACCGCTGCTTGACACGCCAGAGTAGCCTATCGAGGCGTTCACGCTACACATGCTTCTTCATCACCGGTTGAGCGTCCCGCTACAGAAATGGCCAAAACTTTAAGATACTCTGTCATGGAATCGGCGGGCTAGATGCATGCCTGTGCTACCAATAGAGATACCAGGCCGTCGCCAACAGACGAGAGGCGCCGATACTGAGTTGGGCTCTTCCGGATTGAAGTGCGAGTCGTCCAAGGTCTCGACTCTCTCCTCGAATCGACGGATGAAGTTCCGTCGCCCTCGCCTACCGCGTCTAATCCCAATCCCCCCTGCTGGCCAGGTAAGCAGATGGAGTCTCTCTCCGTCGTCTCCAGAGCCAGTCAACTGACGGATTGCCTCCCATGTCACTGGCCCATTACGCTACCGTGTCGAAAGACCCCTCTCGCCGCCCGCGACGGCAGCCTCATGAAGCCCCGTCGGCCATTCCCTCGGGCCTCTGCTGATTCTCGTCGGCGCGGGAGGTCTCGATCCATCTGCGGGGCGGACACATGGTCGTCGATGAGGCGCGACGGCGGCAGCGCCATGCTGAGAAGGGAGGGCTTGACATGGCTCTGCCGCGCTCTGCACTTTTCCTGAAGCAGGCAAAAGCACTGTGTGTCGATAAGAAGACAGGGATGCCTGCTTTGTACCCCGGTCCCCAGCTTTCCCAAGAACGACGGGACCACCAGACCGGTGCTGGACGGGGGCCTGGTCCTTGTCTCACCCCTCGTCGTGCCATTTGGCCTTCCGGCTTTCCCTTGCTTGTTGCGGCACAGCCCTTGGCCGTAGTTGGCAGAGCGCGGGCTTGTCCTTGCTTGGATGACCATGGACGCTATCTTGCTTTGGCTGCCACCCACTCAATCCGATGGATGGCAGAAGTTAGTTTTTCCTGTTGATCATCCCGCAGAGTTCAATTGCCCGTGGCCCCCTCTCCCCCTCCCAATTTTTCTGCTCTTCACGGCTGATCACTCGTTCGACCACAAAATTTCTTAGCCTTGGGATCCGTGAGGCATTGGGATAGGCACGCGGCATACGGATATACGAAAGCGTTTCCCAAACACGGTTCGACGATAGCTCTGGTTCATGGAGACGCCCCTTCGCACGGCCAGCCCTTCCCCCGGGACGCTCATGCACATCGCAAAGACGCCCTGGTGACTCGGCGCACCTCGAATGAACCACCCACCGGGTTCCGTCCCAAGATCGACGACATGCTTCCAACAATCTTCGTCGCAACGGCGCTCGCTGGCGTCGTTCGCGCACAAAGTCAATCCGCAGTTGCTCTCACTCCTTCAACCGACTGGTTCGTTTAGACATTTCCTGAACTGGGCCCGCAATCTCATCTCTAACTGAACCAAGGTACGGCGTCGACGGCAACTGGTCAACAGTGAAGTTCCAAGTCGGCACGCCGGGACAGTCTGTCAATGTTCTTGCGAGCACGTCCTTGTCTGAATTCTGGGCTATTGGAGCCGGTGGCTGTCTTGCAAGTAAGTTTTTCAGCTGTCATTCATCAGCGTATAGATGCCAGCTCGCGCTCTGGCCTAGGCATGTCAGAGCTAATATCTCATGAAGAGGAGCCCTTGTGCAACACCGCCAGAGGCAACGTGTTCACCATTGCCGACTCGAAATCCTGGAATCCGTTGGGCGCATGGCAGCTTGGTCTTGATTATCTCGGCTATGGTGGAAACGGCGACTATGGACTGGACAAGCTTTCAAGCACGCTTTTGACTGGGGATGGAATGAGCATGGACAACATTGTGACCGCGTCAATCAACAGCACCGACTACTATCTTGGATATCTTGGACTCGGCATCACCAAGGGCAGTTTTGGCAATCAGGTTGCCGAATCACCCTTAACGCAAGCGGTCAAGAATTACGGATGGATCCCCAGTTACAGCTACGGCTATACTGCTGGCGCCTACTATAGTAAGTGCATGCTATCCGCTTCTTTGGTCGTATACTAACCCTCGTAGTGGGCATGTCTGGCACGCCATGCTCTGTCACTCTGGGAGGCTACGACGCGAGCCGTTTTGTCCCACATAACAACGAATTTTCCCTAGATCCGAGCGATGGCCTGCCTCACGCCCTGGTCCGTGGCGTCGAAGTTACCGTGCCACAAAGCAAGGAGATGCCGAGCGGCTGGGATGCCAAGACGAGAATATTGTCCAACATGTCCACGTCTTTCAGTGCCATGATCGACAGCTCAACCCCCTTTCTTTGGCTCCCTGACGCTATTTGCGATGAATTCGCTAGTGCATTCAACCTGACCTACAACAACACCTTCAACCTGTATACTCTCACCGATGAACAGTATGCCAACTTTAAGGCCGGCGCATCTTCTTACTCGTTCACTTTCTCCTTTTCTAGCCATGACAACAGTGACGACTTTGGCCACCCTCTCACCGTACCGGGCGTGGTCAACATTACAATCACAGCTGCAGCCTTCGCGCAAGTTTTGCGATATCCATTTCAGAGCGAGACGATCAAATATGGCGAACCTTCAGTTCCTTACTTCCCTCTTCGAAGAGCCTCCAACTTGACGAATACGTTCATCATCGGAAGGTCGTTTCTCCAAGAAGCTTACTTGATTACCAAGTACGATACAGGCGTATTCTCTCTCCACCAGGCCCTGTTCCCGGATGCACCTCTGCAATCATTTCAGCTGAAGAGTATTGTGCAGCCTAGCAATAGCCCTTTCCCACCGCCGGCCCAGGTGAATTCACATACAGGTCTCTCGACAGCGCAAATGGGTGGCATTGCGGCAGGCGTGATCGCCGCTTGCCTGATAATGCTTGCTGGCTTCTTTTTCTACCGTCGCCGCCAGCGAAAGAAGCAGGAGATGACTAGGTCGTTGGAAGATGGGAAAGATGCCGCATCGTCAATTATGCCAGAGTCGCCAAGAAGCCCCATGGCCAAGTTCTTCACAAAAGTGCGGGGCAAAAAGAAGACTCAGCGCGTATCGACACATGAAGTGATGGGCAGCACAGCCCAGCCTGTGGAAGTTGCGGCTGATGCTAATCATGCAGTGTACGAGTTGCCTGCACCGATAGGTCCGGTCGAGCTGGATGGAGAGGACAATAAGTCGGTACATGAGCACACCGAATTCGGGACGGAAGACACGCAAGATGTGAGCGCCTACGAGCTTGCGAGGAGAAAAGTGGAATTCCAACTTCAAGGCCCTGTCCCGGCGTACTCCCCTCCAGAGAATCCGGCCGACTTTCCGCCTGCCGAGAAGCCGATGCAGTACACGAGCCCTGTCGCGACTTTCAGACCTGAAGAGTTTGGGTTGTTGCCTGCTTCGTCCCCGGCATCTGCCTCTTCGCCTTCGTCTCCCACAGTATGCGAAAACTCTTCATCAACCCATGGCTCCTTGCCATCGCCAATGAGCCCCCGCGCTGGAGAATGGACGAACCGCCTATCTGATCTCCCATCACCCCTGACAGAAGGCCCGTCGTACCCATCACCAACCTTCACTGTCAGCAACCCCGGCAACACACTGCCTCAGCCTGTGTCTCCCGAGAGCGAGGCGTTTACGGCGACCTGCGCCACCTTCTCACCTATGCCGCCAAACGTTCCTCTGCCTACCCTTCCTTCACCGCCTCCATCAACCCATCAAAGAGCACCAATCGACCCGTCAAATATCGTCTGCTTGGGCCCTTTGCCAGAGAACGTGTCTCTTCCAGAGCCCGAGGTGTTTCCCCCTCCGCTGGCATACTCTCAAGGGACGAACCTTGCCGTGCCTGAGGATCTCACTGCTCATCGCCTATCTACCGATACTTTGGGAAGCAACTGGACCGAGTTCGAGGAGGAGCTCATGGCTCAGGACAACCTGACGAGACAAGTGAGCCTACCAGATGAGGAGAGGAGTCAGCAAGCGGAATCAACCTCTTTGCGAAGCCTGCAACGCCTCGACGGCTTCGAATTCATCCACATTCCTCAGATGGCAGAGCGTCGCTACAGCTGGGAGAACTAACAACATGAAAAGCCTGCCATTCTTTCCGGAAAAAATGACTTGATCTTTACAAATAACCACTTATAATGCACGACTGCAGAGAAAGCGGCCGGCACTATTTCTACTTCTTTCTTTCTTTCTTTTTCAGCAGTCCGATTTTCTTCAGATTTGAATCAATCAAGATACAGCGAAGGAGTTTGGGATAAAATGTCTCCCCAGAAAGGGAGACACAGGGATATCAGCATGCAGACATGCCGGCGTTTAGGTGCCCATAAAATTGGGCCTGGGAAAGGACTTGGTTGATTGCGGGAAGCGGGAAGATTACCCCAGATGGAGATGGAGAGTGGAGAGCCTAGCTACGAGCAGATTCGAACCAGGAACTTGGGATTTGTTTGCGATATGCTCAAAAAGGAACGAGATAGGGAGGTGGCGAGGCCACCAAAGGTGCTACGTTCTGGCATCTAGACAAGCCTCACCATCTCTAGTTTCCACTCTCAGCATCGTAGAGAAACAAATAAATAAAATCAAAATCAAATGAATGATCTTTCTCTCCTCACGTGTGATTTTCCCGTGGGTGGATTCGGGGTCTGTGAAGGTTAGGAAACATCATCGAGGGCCAAGAGTACCGCTGAGTTTGCCTCCACCCTCCACTATGGATAACAAGTGCACATTTGGAAGAAGGGTTATTGGCGTACGTTATCTGCTATACACGATAGCAGTACCGATTCTAAGTGTATTGAAGCCGGAGGGAAACTGCTTTGAAAAGGGTGTAGTCCCATTGTCTGATCTATTGCATCTTCCGCGTTGGGCACGTGAACTATGTAGTATACAGAACCCTCGGCCCAGACCTTCCAACGGCTCTATCAGGGAGAAATCATCCAGGTAACCCCCCGCGATGGGAACCCCCATGGCAGGCAGTGCTTCGCCCTTACCAAATCTCCTCCCACCAAGTCAACCTCGCAAAAGCAGCCTCCACGGCCGCTTCGTCCGGGTACCTCGACGAATCGCCGCGCAGACAATCCTTGACGGCCTCCTTGACGGCGCGCGACATCTTGAGGCTGCCGCCGCAGACGACAAAGATGGCGTCCGAGGCGACCATGGCGCGGATGGTTTCGGGGTGGTTGCGAATCACGTCCTGGACGTAGGCTCGCGGGACGGACTTGTCGCGAGAAAAGGCTGGCAGGATGTCGAATTTGGGGTTGGTGGGTGCGGATGCTGCGTCGGCGTCATTGGTTGTAGCAGCAGCAGAATCGGTAGTAACAGTAGTAGTGGTAGTGAAAGAAGGTAGGGTATACCTCGTCTTGAGGTCCTCCCAGACGTCACTAAAGTGGAAATCTGCTTTTCTGCTGCGGCTACCGAAGAAGACGGCGGTATCGCCGACGCTCACGCCTGAGGCGAGGTGGGAGAGGCGTTCTTCGATGAAGAGGCGAAGGGGCGCGACGCCTGTGCCGGTCGCGATGGCGCAAAGGGGCCGGTGGGCGTGGACGGGCCCGTGGAGGGATGCGGAGCTGCGGTTGAGGGTTATGCGGAGAGGGGTTCCGGGCGAGGTCAGGGCTTCGAGGTAGCGAGAGCAGAGGCCCTGGCGGATTTTGCGGAGGATGGTCTGGTATTTGACGAGGGCTATCAGCAGGGTGATGCTCGTCTTCGTTCCTGGTGTTATTGTTGAACTCGTCGTCGACGTTGTCTCTTGAGAGGGCGGGAGGCTGGGTTGGTGGGCAATGCTGGCTATGCTGGCTATGCTGAAGTCCCGGCCGCGCATGACGGGGAACATGTCGAGGACGCGGCTCAGGGGTATCCGGACGGAGGTGAACTCCTCGAGGACCTCGAGGATGGTGCGGCGGGGCCTGGTGGTGTAGTCGTAGAACTCGTCCGTGTACTCGCGCATGGTAAACTCAAGGAGGCGCTCCTTGTGGTATTCGTCGTCGGAGAAATAGTACATCTCTTTGAGGAAGCTTCGGCGCGGGGTGCAGGTGATGTCAAGATTGTGCGTGAGCAAATCACGCAGGGTCGTCGGACGGTCGTGGCTGATGTAGAGACCGCGAGGGAGATTAGTGACCCCAGAAGAGGACCTGAAGGACAGAGGAGAGTCGGCAATGTTGTTCCATTGCATTAGGTCTATGAGTTTTTGGACGTCTTTGGGGAAGTTCTTTGGGTAAATCGTCAGGCTGTCAAACGGGTTTATTGTGGGAGGTCCATTGGCAGAAGGCTCGACGGCGAGGCGTACGAGACGGACGTCTTGGAAGTGTGTCGTAGGCGTCACTCTTTCATTGAGTTCGAGGGAGGCGGCATGGCCGTCAGGGATGGGTAATAGCGTTGTTGGGGGAGTTTGAATCTGAGATTCGAGACCGTCTCCCGTCGGCGAAGGTTCGGTAATAGTCATTTCGTTGGTCGCATGTGTTATATCCTCGATGGCGCTTATTGTGTTTGAGTTGGGAGAAGTACCGTTGGGCTGGTTGTCGTTTCCGATCTCTACCACATGCCCATTTGTCTTATGCTCGCTACTGCTGCCAGAGGTTCCATTTTGTAGTGTCTCTGGGCTCGTGGCTAGCTCGACGGTATATCTCGGGGGTAAAAGAGCGCCCTCTGGGATGGGAGAGACCCCCTCTGGCAGGGGGTACAGCTCGAGTAACCGCTTTTGCAAGTCTGCGGCCCAGGGCATGTATCTTTCGTCCGCTCTGCTCGATACTTAGTAAAGATCATCAGATCAGATAGCAGTTGGGGGATGGTTTTTTTTGTGTATTTTCAACACGGAGCAAGATATTTGCCTTCCATCGGATGTTCGATAGACGGGTATAAATGATTGGGAGAGAATAAGGGGATGTCAACAAGGTGTGAAGAAAGGCTTGGGAAGACTGATAGGCACACCTATCGCAGGTCGGGGTTGACAAAACGGAATAACTCAAGCACTGTCGACTCAAAAGGTAGACCGTATCGAACGCACTAGCATTTCGATGATTGGGCTCTGAATATCCGTCCTCTCATGAGCAGCTTGCTGAGGAGTGCGTCCACTACAAAGCTTGTTGAAGCTCTAGATGAGAAGGATATCCACGATGGGAGAAGCACACAGAGACAAGGTCCAAAGAGATGAGGGTGGTCTCGCATCTTGATGTTGTGAGGAGCTTTGTCACAGAACATAATGCACAACCACCCAAAATGAAGATGGGAAATGAAGGCGAAGTAAGAAGAAGTCGACAGGAACTTACCCATCCGAGTCTTGCTCGTCTGCTTCGCCTCGTGGATAATACTCTACGGCACCTAATTGCTCTAGCCGCTTATGCAACTTCCTAGCAGCCCAGTTAAACCTGTGGGAAATGTCAGCCGTTAAAATCATTACTGATCATAGCAACCGTAGTCCTCAGCGAGAGCAACAAGGGGAAACAACGCCAGAGGGCCAAAAGACATACTTGATGTACAGGCTATCGCCAAGTCCAAAAGTTGTGAACTTGACTGCGCCGAGGCAGCCAGGTGGTAGCTTCTTCCTCAAAAGGCTTTTCCAAAAGGCAATCGAGTTACGAGGCATATCACCTTGGCCCGTCGTTGATATGACAAAGATGACCATTGAATATTGAAGCAACATGCTCTACCAGAGAAGTCAGCGATGCGCAAGGTATGGTGCCCAATGACGTGTAATGAAGTGCATTGGTAGACAGATCTGCAGTAGAACATCCAGGCTCAAGGAGACCTACCAACTGAGCTCCGTTCATCTCATCAACCTTGGTCTTGAAATGCAGACGTTGGGCGTTGCGACCAATTTCTTCGGCAATATCCTGGGCATTGCCGGTCTCCGAGCCGTAAAGGACCAACATGGACCGGCCTGGCAGGTCAGCCACCACGGCCGGCTCGGGACCGGTGATTTCGGTGACCATATTCTTTGAACCGAATTTGAGGCGAGGTACTTGTTGCTTGCGAAAAGCTGATGGCAGGCTCTATCCGGACTTGCTTGTGTTGTGAATGTCAACTGCAGCGTGATCCGGGTGGACCTTTTCAAAATCGTGACTCTGAGAAGATGCGGCTCTTGGGTCTGCTAGCGCGGGGGTGCAGCTTCTTGGAAATGTTTTTTCTCTGCCTTCCCAGCGGCATCGGAGCTGCAGGAGCCATTCGGACTCTCAAGGCGCAAAAATGCGAAAACGCATGTGCTTTGTTGAGTCACGTGTTATCGCACTGGCTTGATTTTGAGTTACTTAAGTACAAATAGAAATTTGGGAATATCAGTCAGACGTAAAAGCTGGAAAAAGAGAGATTCTACGTCGTGATAGTCTAGTTTAGAGACAATCCTCGAAACGTCATTGATTGCTCGGAATTGTCTGGGGCACAAGCTCTTGCGAGCGAGCGCAAGGCAGCCTGTCACGGCCTGTGTATCGGTCAGCCACAAGCATGGATAACAGCCGACCTCCCCAAGATCCAGGTCCCTCTTTTGCATGCGCCACAGATGGGAGAGAATCCCATCGAAGAGATGCAGGGCACCAGGACCCAGTGCCGGAACTTAGACAGTCACTAATCCCAACGAGATTAGAGCGGCGATTCGTGGGCTGAGACCCCCTAACGACTAAAGATGCGGCGGTGTGCTGCCTTGCATGCAAGGTAACGGTTGGGCGGGCTGGGACCACCTCACACACGGTGACACGGGAGGTCGGCGCTGGTGTCACTCTCCAGGCAGGGCGAGTGACAGCATGCCCCATTCCGAAGAAGCTCCTGTGGAGAAGCTTGAGGCGCTTTACTGCGAGACGACAGATGAGGCAAAGTCAGGGAAAACCTTCACGACTCAGGTCCCCGCCTTACCACGCCTCGAGCTGCTGACACGACTGTTTCCGTCTTCACCGAATCCCACGCGAGCTCAGGATTCTTGCTGACGATGGCGACCACAAAGCGAAATAGCATGCGCAGGTCTGAAGACGCGGGCTCATCTGTTCTGCCCGGGCAGTTGCCCTTTGCGCCATCCGAACATCCTCAATACTATCCTGGGTGGGAGATTGTCTGTCGATCTGTACGCGCGACAGTCATCCCCTTGCTGATTGGTGTTGGTTGAGCATCGGATATTCGCGCTCGTGTTGACATCAATATCGGACATGAGAGCGCGGGATTGATAGGAGTAGCTGAGTCTAGGACAAGGGACAAAGGGAATCTGCTGCCCTCGTCCCTTCTTTGCACTGTTGGCCGCCCCCCTGCATCGCACCGTTAGGACCCATGGAGCTTTAGCGTGGGTTGCTAGGGGACCCTCACCAAAATCTTCATGCGCTCCGCGAGATCCAGTGGGCCGTGGGAAATTGTATCATTCCGGACGCCAAAGCATCTCTCCGCGGTCCCATAGATACGGGAGGACGGTGCTGACCAGGGACGGGAGATGGGCCCTGAATTGGCATCCGCCGGAGCCACATTGCTGAACTGGCCGGGCCAGCCGTCGCGTCACTCGCGTGTGTGCAAGCT